GGAACATTGAGCCATGATGTTTTTGTGTCACTGCTTGTCATAGTGGGTGGGATTGGGCTTCTCAGACCCGCCCCCTTACTATGTGTCAAATAATTGACAGGCCAGGAAATATCTGTATACCACACACATTGACATAACACTAAGGCCCCATTCACATGTAGCGACTTATCGCGCGATTTCGCGCATTTTTGCTGCGCGATAGCGCGGGAAGTCGCCGGCTAATGATAGTCAATGGAGCTGTCTTAGCTCAATGTCGCGCGTCGCGGTCGCTTCTACAGGACCCTTTTTTCGGCGGATTTTGCTTTTTTTCTAGGGAGCCCGACGGAGAAGGTCGCGCTACCGTCGCTGGATCGTCGCTGGAACGTCGCCCCGAAAGTCGTGCTATCCCGGCCACTGCAAAGGTATGTCGCTACATGTGAATGGGGCCTTAGGGTCACCATTAGGGATGCACCAAAATTACATTTGTAGACCGACTCTGGAATTTTAAAAACTTGTCAGGCTCAAACCAATAATAACTTTTTCCCCCAAACTTTTTAAATAGTTATTTATTTTTTAATTATTTATTATTTTTACTTTACTGTTGGGGCCTCTGGAGCCATATCAAAGGTCTAAACAGACCGTTGATATTTCCCTTTTGAAATAGAAAGAGATTTCAGGACACAGAGTCCTCCAATCTCTCTTTCTGCAGCCCCTGTTATGAATGAACAGGAATCCTCTGAGTGTTCCTCTTCATTCATAAATGGAGGATATACTATGAGTTACTATGTCCACAATCATGAATGAACAGGAAGTGATGTAGAGCACTTCCTGTTCATTCATAATTGGGGACACAGTAAGCATATGTCCTCAGTTTTTTTTTATTAATCAGTCCTGATTGATGAGTGTTTGTAGTCCACTCTCCATCCTGACTGCTCTGCCTGCCACAGGAGACTGAGCATGGCGGGAGGAGAGCTCGGCCTCCTATGACTGCTAACTGCTGACCTCTCCCTGCAACGCCCTGATCAGCCTCCTGACAGCTTCTCTCCTCCCTGCTGGGCTCCAATCTGTGTCCCCTCCGATCCCTGTTGCCTCTGCCGACACAGGCAGGGGAGAGCAGCGGGGATCGGAGGGGACACAGACCGGTGCTCAGCGGGGAGGAGAGAAGCTAGGGATGTACTGCTTTTGCAGATGTTTTGATACTATGTCCGTAGTACCATTTTCGTCCAAAATGTATTGGCAGACGAAATTTCAGTGCTTCCCTATACACGATACATGTGTGGTGAGCTTATGTTCCATTCACACCATAGCATATTGTGAACAAATGTCAATCGTGCGTATGTGCATTCAGGAAATGTGCACCAAACGCACCATTACTCATTAATGGCACCCCAAATGTGACTGAGCATTTGGGGTGCCATAAATGCTCATTTGTGTGTTAGAACACACACAAATGAGCAGGGAATAAAGCTGTACACATCTCAGAATTTGCTACATGCACTACTATACTGGTATTGGCGTGCATCCAGGAACCCATTGAAATCAATAGGTGTGCGCACCAAACGCTGGTTACACGAACATGTGGGAAAGTGCGTCACTGCTGTGCCATGGTGTCAATGTGAGCTTAGACTGACAGGTGAAGAAACTTCTTGCCACCTCACCTTGGCCTAATGGTTTAACTGACAGGCCAGGAGTCTCCTGATTTGTCACAGCTGTACCCGCCCCCAGGTCCTGCCCCTGATCCCGCCCACATTCTCACCCATATGCAACTACAATTCCCATTTCATGATGGGAATTATTGTTTCTCCTTGTGAGTGGATGTGATGAATCCACCTCCATATTACCTCCTCCAGGTACACAGCCTTTTTATCAGTGGGAGCAAGGCGTCGCGGATGTATTTTTGACAAATGGTGACGTTTTATTGTTTAAAAAGAAAAAAAAAATAGACACTTTCTAATGCACATATCTAATGACAGTTATGGAGAAAATGTACTTCTATCCCGGAGTTCAGATTTAAAGAAGAGCTCCAGACAGAACATTGGGGCTACGTTTTTTATCTAGGTGCTAAAATAACAGAGCTATACTCGCCTTAACCTCGATCCCAGCTGGCTCCTAGACTGGTCCCTGCAGCCTCTCTCCCCCTTTTCTGCAGTGGTCTAAGGTCAGTCATCATGTCCTATGCAGTATATAAGATGTGAGGACACCAAGGGACATTCTGTTGCTGGAGCCAGCTGGAATTGCAGTTTGGGTGAGTAGTGGGGGGTAGCCCCACTGCAAAGGTTAAGATTTTAACGTGCATCTTCAGGCAAAACCTTTTGTTTAGAGTGGAGAAGGGTTAGACCCTCTGTTTAGTTTTTATTGCTGGGGTATTGGTGAGATTCTATTTGTACTGGTGGCCGGAGACTGAAAGTGAGGGGGAATCCAACATTTTTGAGTTGTCTCCAGAGGGGAGGGGAAATCTTTTTCTTTGTTGCGCCTCGGGACAGGAAGTGAATGGAATTTTTCCTCAATGGTACACAGACAGTCAAAACACTAAATAGGAGATTTAACCCTTCTGTAATCTGGTCAAAACAGAAAAAAAACAAGTTTGGCTTTGCATACACTGTTATATTTAGGAAATAACACCTTGTAAATAATAATAATAATAATAATAACAATAATAAAAAGCTATAACCCAGTTATACATCATTGGGAAGACGGTACATTTTAATGCTGTGTTGGGTGTGAATGGTTGTGATTGCTGAATTAAAGCAGAGAGGGGAATTTATCAAAACCTGGTCAGACAGAATTTGGAATAGCTGTACACAGCAACCAATCAGCTTCCCTCTTTAATTTTGAAATCTCAACTAACCATACTGAAGAGAGAAGCCGATTGGTTGCCGTGGGCAACTGCTTCAGATTTTGTCGGCTCCAGTTTTGAGAAATTCCCCTCATTGTCCCTGGAACTGGTTTCTAGTTGTTAAAGTCAGTGTTATGACAGATTGATATATCAGTTAGCTGCAATATCAGTTAGGATATGATCACGCTAGAACGATGATGGACATCTTTCTTAGTATAAAGGTGCCCATACACGGTGCGATTATCGCACGATAATCGCGGGAAATCCCGCGATCGTACGATAATCGCAAAGTGTATGGAAGGCGTGCAACTGTTTCTACTGTACGGTCGCACATCTTTTGTCTAAGGAGCATGTTCGAAAACCAGCTGAAAATCTTACGATTTTCGGCTGGTTTGTGGCATGCTCGGGAGACAAATGCCGAACGGGCCCGGGCGGGCTTGTGATGATCGCAAGTACGGTCTGCCTGTCCAAGATGGGCAGATCGTACGTTTTTTTTTTTTTTTTCACAAATGTTTTTTTATTTGATTTTTAAGGTTATTAACAGACAGTTCTGTATTGCAATATCCCAAACATGGTAGTATTAAAGAGTATTGCAGTGAGCATACTTGTAATATACAGAATAGAAGTTTTTTTAATTACTTAAGGGGCTTCATGTGTGGCCCCTGACACCACCAAAGGGCTACACATAATATTCAGTGAATGTAATG